TATAATATATAGGTGGCACTCATATTTTCATAGGGATTTAACTCTAATCTTGTCATAATGTTAGAAGTGGTAATTTTTTTTATGTATTTATTTCAAACTGGAAATCTTTTAAAGCTGGGTCTTTTTAATGGTACTGGATTATAGAACAAAATTTCTGTAAAACCCACAAAATACATGATTACTATTTTTTTTGTACCAGCTTCTGGCATAAAATTTGTTCCATTTACATGTTCCCAAAATATGTATGCATAGATTTCTGATCATTTTCTAGGAGTTAGACCTATATAATGTTCCAAACAACCACAAATTTCTTAGGTTTAGTAGAATATGGACTTTATCCAAATGTTAAGAAATGGCATTTTAAAAATTTGAAAATAAATAGGAATAATCCAAAACCCTCCTACTCCTAATGTTACTAACTCTGAAAAGTCAAAGAGAAAGGGGTAAGAAGCTTGTTAAATTTAACTTGGCTTGCTTTTGCTGAATGAAGACAAAACAATCTTCCCTGGTGAAAGGCTTTAATGGAATTTTGTATTTATGTTTGATTTCTAACAGAGGTCATTTAATCAAGCAAACATTTCAGGTATTCATTTATTATCTCCCTTGTTTTTATGCAGAAAAGTGGCAAATGTAAATGTTTTTTAATGCTAAGTTTATCTTGACTAGTATCATGCTTTCTGCTAAGATGTTTGTACGTGCAGGATATGCTTATCTCGAAATTGCTTTTACAGGTCATGTAAAAAAGAGGTATTTCAACGGAGCTAATCGAAAATGTTTCCCTTCTAGGTCTTGGCATTGGTTCTAGATTGTATTTTAAAGCAATCTGAAGTACTTAATATCCATAAATGTTATTTGGAACTGTCTCTAAAGAAAATAGCTTTTGGTGGTATTTTTTCCACACACTTTCACGTAAGCAAGCTTGATGTAAAAGTGCACAGTGAGATGTGGAAAGAAGATATAATTTTTAAAAAGAGTAGGGTGTGGACCTTGAGTAGCATTTGGGAGACGTACCATTAGAATGAAGAAAGGGTTTCTGTTATTAAAAATAGTCCTTAGGAAATTAAGTTTAGGAAAGCAAGAAGCTACCTTCTGTTTCTGTAGATAGCCATCACAGAATAAAGTGTACCGAAGTGTGGTGCCTCTCATGTTTTGCTGTGGGATGGTTATACTCTTCTTGAGGGGATTCCTTGCATTTCTTGTACTTTAGTTCATGGTAACAGAAGACATTTTTTACAAGAGCATGCAATTTCATACTATCATCAGCTGAGTCCTATTTATGTAAGTTGATGGAATAGTAGCATACAAATGGATGGGCTCTACCACCATATGTCATTTTATAAGTCTAACTCTGGACTCTGGTTTCAATAAGTAGGGCTTCGATCACTGGGGGGGCGTTCCAGAAGGCTGGTGGGAACTCAGTGTTGGGTACTTGGTGCACCCCATGTAACTGCAAAGCTTTCAGTCTAATATCACTACTGCACCCGCACACAAAAAAAAAAGGAAAAATAAGGCTAGAAGGATCTAATTGGTATTGAAATCAATTAAGTGTTGTTCACCCTGCTTTCAGTTTTTGTATTACTGTCAAGTAACATGGGTTGTGGGAGGGGGACGTCAAACTTCTTCTGACATCCACTTTCAGTGAGCATGTAACTTTTGTTGTTGAAATGTGGTAATGCTAATGTAATACTCGTAGGGTATTCTTGATTTCAAGCTGGGTTTTTTTGTTGTTTTCATTGTAAAATGTGGTGTGTGCACACCAGGAGTCCAAATATGACTAATGGAATCCAAGTCTGAAAATGTAGATGGCCTGCCTGCACTGAACAGCTCTCTGAGTTTTTGGCCTGGATGAAGGGAAGAGGAAGAGTGATCTTCTCCGTAGAGTTGTACTCAGCTATTATATATGTAACTTCACCTGAGAAGTTAGATAAATGTTGTTTTGTTTGGTGTTTTTTGTTCTTTTGTGTTTAGATGAAAAATTCAGTTCTATAGACATTAATGATTTGGGCCTTTGTACTTGCCAAACTAAAACCTTACTTTATTTCATTCAGTTTTCTGCAGACTTTCTGAAGTAAGTCTGCATCTTACTATAGTCTAGTAAATGGATCACATTTGAAGTACCATTGCTCACCGTATTTCTTCAAATTTTCACATTGTTTTCTTTTTTTTTTGTATGACTATCATTTAAAAGTTAGCTAATATAGAAGAGCAAAGCTGTAGCATTTTAAGGTAGAGTATTATATTATTAGACGTCTAGTTCATTTTCTTTGGCATTTAAAATAAAATCTCATGACCTCAAATACTTTGACTGAGAGTCCTAAGTTAGTATTGCACAACACTAAAAACAGTTTAAGCACAGTGTGTTTTGTGAATTGGATGTAGGCAGCTTGCCAAGGTAACTATACTGTAACTACTTGGGTTTAAATTCTGTTATGTTGATTTTAGCAAAGATCATCAAGTAATTGCACGAATGTGTGGTTAATGTTTTTATAAAACAGATTCTTTAAAAGGATGTGCTGAACTCCTGGTGGTGCTGCATGTTTGTCATGCACTGGAGTGTTTTTAAATAATGGATTATGGAGTTTCTTTATTGATTTTAATTAGATGCATGCTCATTTTGTATTTAAACCTTCAAGAGTTCACTGGTAGCACGAGCACATGGAGTAAGAGAGGCTTATTCTATAGTTGCACTTCATAGATTGTCACTGACCATCTTCACCAAAATTGGCCATGAATTCAAAAAACTCAGCACTGAATAGTCTTAGATACCTAAATTAATTTGTCTAGAGGATTCAGTTCTCACTGAAGCCTGTTTTTCCCTTTTCTTCCCCACAGTAATAGTTTGGTTAAGGGGAAGATGAGTTGGGCAGGAAAGGAATTACAGTGTTTTTAGAAAATGTTTGGGAATTTGGCTCAACAAGAGTTGTGTTGAATGTAATGTCCACACTAATATCATTGCTGACACAACACTAGAATATTCAGTGCTTCATTTACAGAGTAAACATTTGGAAACATAACATAATTAGCTGTTTGATGTACCAGTTCACAAGCTAAGAAAACACTACCACCATGTTATGCTTCAAAATATTTACATGGTCCATATAACATTTTGCATTGACAGTTATCACTATTGCCGGTAAAGCTTAGAACAATGACTTCAGAAGGAGTGCTAGTAAATAACCTTTTATCTCTGTGTTCAGACAAGGAGATTCTTAGCAAATATTAAGAAATTAAGATAATGATTGATACCGAAATTTTCAACTCAAAGAATGTTACAGCAGTTTAGAAACTAGCATTATCTCACAATATTCAGTAGATACTTTCATAAATTTAGATCAGAGTATGCTTTGCCCAACAAGGGAGAGAAGTTCAGTACAAAATCAGGACATAATATAATAACTTTTGAATTGATTTTGCAAGAAAGATATCAGAAGCAATACCGCAATACTTTGGTTTAGAAAAATTTCTCCATCAGGAACTAATAGCGCCAATGGATGGTTCTTTAAAAATGGACTGAAGCATAAGCCAGTGAAAAATAAAGCTAGAAAGGAATAATTGCAATTTTGTTCTGCCACTTCTTTTTGAGAAAGATACACATCTTACAGCAAAATAGTGAAAATTTATGCATAATATGCTTTTTTTTCCTAGAAGAACTTCCAGGTAAGTGTGGAAGAACTGTGTTCAGATCATGAGAAGGTTTGTGGGTTTTTTTGCTTGTTTTCATTTTGAAAATCATTGTATATTAAAATTCTGGAAATGAAGTACACTTTTGAGCCCAGTGTATTTGTATGTTCTTAAGTATGCTCTAGGTGGAAGTGGTCAGCTGAAGCAAACATGGATATGAAATACTGTTGTTAAAATTTGCAGAGTGCTGTTAAATCTGGCGTTCTTATGTCCTTGACATACCAATCTCTGTCTTGGCCTGGATGGTTAAAGAAAACAGTTGATTTCTGTGACTATGGATTTGTTAGTAGCCAAGTCAATTGTAATAGGTTGTTTGCATGGAAACAGAGAAGGCTTCCTCCTTGCTGTTGGTCGTCAGTGCTGTATTTTCCCCCTCCCTGCTTAGTTTTCTGCTGGGATAGTGAGTTGAATCAGCTGGTGGGAGGGGGGTGCCAGAGCAATACAAGGTTAGCAGCAGGAACAAGCACACGGAAGAGAACAGTCAGGGAAACAGCTGCAAGGATAAAGTGGAATGTCCCGTTTTCTTAGCAGCAGCTCATTGCAGTGAGCTGAAGCTGTCTTGAGTCTACTTTCCCAGACCTTTCCCAAAGTGAGGACCCTCAGAGTAACCATATCTAACATCCCAGAACGTGCCATTAGGAGAAGGAAGCAAAAGCAGGGAAGGCTAGAATCTATAGTAGAAAATAACAAGACATATTGAAATTTCTGACAGTATGGTAACTTTGGAGAAATGTGGCATCCTGTTTAACCATGTGTAGTTTAAGACAACCACTTTTTTGTTACCGTGCGGCAGTATTAGGCTTCACTATGTTAACAAAATTGGTTTTTCCTTTGGAACTAAAATGCCAGATGAGCGTTAGATGTGCTTAAAATTATCTGTGCTTATGCCTCACCTACCAAATCTGTTTCTGATGTAGAATTTCAGGAGGTGATGTTCTGTGCGTTTATTATTTCTCAGTTAATTTGCTCTTTTTACCTCAGTTGGACAAACATAAACATTAAAGAGAAGTGCTGTTTCATCACTTATGGGCAACATTAAAACCGTCACTGCTTCTAGAGCAGGAGCTGTAAAAAGGACTTTGTTGAGCAGCCATTTTGTCATTACTATCTAAAGGATTTCTGTTTCATCTTCTACATGTGCCCAGTACAGCTTATGCAGTGTGCACATGCTCGCTCTCTCAACTGAGAATTGAGATTAAAAATAAACCTTTTGTGATTCTGAGTGGGGGTGCTGAAGTTCCTTGGCATGATGTTCATTTTGTGAATATAATCCAGTTTACTTTCAAACACTATAATTATTTTATTTTTTTCCCCTGTAGGGCTTGCTATATTAAAGCATGTGTTAACGCCACGTGTGAAGGCAACTCATGTAGCCATTGACACTATGAAAGACTATCTGGATGCAGTGTATGATGTGACTGTAGCTTATGAAGGTACTGTGGACCACAAAGGGCAAAGAAAACTGGCACCATCTATGACAGGTGAGTTGATGTATATTAGACATGCTACACCCATATGCTTGTTAATATACAGAACCAACTTCAGGTGCTTTGTAATGCTCTGAAGGTAATCTCCGCAGTGCTTCAGCCATCTTGCCATGCCTTGGTAGGGCATCATTCATCGGTACCTAGGCTTTACAATAGTTACCTGTGACATTCCTGCCCTCTCCTTCTGTTCCTTATTCCACACAGAGAACGTTTCTGTAGTCATATTCTGCATATAAGCTCTCTTTGGCGTGAAGGTCGTTAAAATGAACTTGGGGCCATAGGCAGCAGGTGCCACTTACCTTCATGTTTCTTCTAGCCCTGGGATTTGGCATCATCATAAATTCTCTCTTTCTTTCTCTCTGTTGTGTTACGTATGTGTACATGTGATCTAATTGCTGAAATGCATGTATTTTAAAGGGAAAATGTGTAGTAGTAGTAGTAGTATTTTACTGGCAATTTTTCAAATTGCTACACATACCCAGTAACCTTACAAGCACTTCACAGCATTTTGTGCAAGTGGGCTTCACTTGCTGTAGTATTTTAAACCACCTACAGCACCTTAAGAGAATAGTGTAAGTTAGTTTTATGTTCCTCAAGTAATCTAACCAGAAAATAAGTTCTGGGTTTCTGCTGGCGAAAACTCTGGGACAGAGAGCTTTAGGGTTTGCTGGGTTTTTTTATTATGCTTGGCGATGGGTTGATTTTTTTGTTTTGTTTTGTTTTAAAAGTAATTCATTTACCTGCACTGTCAGTGGAGAGTCAGATGTCATCTTTCTTTCCTGTTGTAGCTGACCATACAGTACTCAGCCATATCTGTGCACGACTGTCTATTGCTAATTGACTCAGTGGTACTTTTGAGCAAGGGATCAGTGTTGACTTTGGGAACCTGCAGGGAACTTAGCTAACTCCCCACTCCTCAGCTGGCCCAGTGTCACAGGGACTTGTTCCTTCTGCTGCTAAAAATAGTTCATAGTGCAGCTGTTTTCATGTCACTTCATTAGTAGGTGTAACTCCTCAAGGTGGTGTAAAGTTCACATGAACTCCTTCCAGGTGCTAGTTGCTTAGAAGTTCTGGAATTGTCTGTTTTTACATTTTCACCCTGTTTAAAATTCTTCTGGATAGGTAAGCAACAAAACTGTTAATACTGTGTATTAACTCAACTCTTGTGTTGTACTGTAAGATCTTAGGATGGGTTTATTTTATGTATGTTTTGTTCCCAACAGGCATTTTTAATGGCTAAATATCAAATGGGGTTTATGATTTAACATTTTTTATTTATAATTTTCTTTTGAAGTTAATTTTACAGATTTTATTATTTAAAGTTTTTAATGTTTGTTTTGGTTTTTTTTTAAATACCTTATGACCCTCTTACAGACTCCTTTGAAGACTGGGCAGCCTCCCTCTTGTCCTGTCACCCAACCCTTTTCAAAGACCCCCTTCAAAACAAATAGGATTGTTTCCCCTTCTCTGCAGCATATCTTGTTTCAGGACTTAATTATTAGGCAGTTTCAACCATTCTAATGCTGGACTTCTCAGTGCCTGATGGTGAATTAAACTATTGAACTGTCATTACCTAATGATAAGATGGCAAATGTTCAAATTCCTTATAAGACTTCTTCACCTATTGAACCTTCTGGTTTGCCTGAAGCATGATATAATTATGGAAAGGGAACCAACAAACTGAATCTCCCTGTTGGCTGTTCCTTGTGTCCAGTGTCAAGTGGTAATCACACGGTTTGGGGTGGCTACTCCATATCCAGCCTTTTGGAGACTCCACAGCAGGCAGTCTAGGCATATCTTTCAGCCACCCTTACTGTTAGGGCTGGGGTAATTACTGTATCAGCCTTGAGTAAAAATAAAGGCAGTAACACAGAATGAAATGCAGCCAACCAGTTGTTACGCATTACAGAGTAGATAAATGAAATATCCATCCAGGGCATTCCACGCTATTGTGGCATTCACATGTATTCCATATAATATAAATTATGTAGATTAAGGACACTTTATAAATTACAGTGTGGAACATAGTTGTCATTCTTTTAGGCCCTCCAGGCACAAAGTGGAAGAAAAACAATTTCTGTTCTAAGAGGTCAAGATCATTTCACCATTTGTTATGCAGAAGTCCAACAATTGGTCCGTTCAGGAATATAATATAACAAGAATTGAATTACGCGTTGTTATGCATTTGAGATTTTTTAGCATTATTGCTCTTTTACAGTACTAAAATGAGTTATAAAACGTCATTTTCATGTGCGCATTTCATATGAACATTTCATATTTGTGTCAGTGCTGAATGAGAATTTTGGTTTTCATTCTCATCGGAATAAAATAGCAGTGCAATCCTGGTAATTTTTAAAAGATAAGGTTGACATGTCTTTTTCAATGTAGCAACTCTGACTGAAATTTATTGCATGGAAAACAAACTTTTGATAAACACAACTTTACTGGAGGACTGTATTTCCCATAGTATGACATTTCCCATGTGAATGAAATCTGAATTCCACATGGATATAATGTGTTTCTTGAGATGCATTTTACTTCCAGTTCTATAAATCTCAGTTCCTTAGAAGAGCCTGTGCCACTTCTGGAAAGACCCATACTTACCCAGGGATATGGCCAGCTCTTAGCTGCTGTCTCCAGTAGTAAACAGAGCAGGTTAAAAGGAACATTTTGGCGACTGTGAGTAGTACTACCATGCTTTATGAGAAATTGTGTTAGTAAACTGTAAATGGGAAAAAAAAATTCTGAAGAAAAAATCAATTGCATTTTAAATTTTGTAATATGGAGCTCAGTATAAATAGCCTTTCTTAGCAAAATTGGATTTTTTTTTTTTCAGTCTAGCAAGCTTAAATATCATAATGCTGACTTGCTCAACAGGATTAAAACAAAACATAGTATACTAGCAACTGGAAAATACACATTCACCATCCTTTCTGCATTAGTGCTTTGAAAAGAACAGTGAATGCCAGACACACCTGACAACACAGTACCTTTTTAGAGCAGGCAAATTATTATAGTATATCCTTTCAAATGTGTTAAACTTTTTGTCACTATTTATGCATTTTAATGTTTTGTTGGCACTTTCCAGCTGCAAGTTGATTGTTTTAGAAGACATCAAATTTGATTAGTCTTAGACAGGGACTAAGATTAGATTAGCTTTAGGCAGGGATGTTGCTTTCTGCTGTTGCTTCACATCCAGTTGTGACCAACAGATGCAATTTTTTTCCTACCATTTATTTGTTATTCATTCCTTTTCATTCCGACAAGTTTGGATCTTGGTACGTTTCCAGTGGAAGCTTGTCCTGCACATGGCAGCCTTTCCAAAGAACAGCGATTTCCCACAAATTTCTCCCCTCTCACTACTGAAGATGGTTTGTCCAGGTCATTAATGACAGAATGTGACGGTCCTGCTTAGGGAGGACAATGCTACTAGACAGTATTTATTTGTGGTCATTAGAATAAGATGCAAATAACGATATGGGCACTGCAGCACAGCTGAAGTACATCTCAGGTACTGAATTCTGGAAGAACTATTTAGAAGGGAAAAGGAGGGGGAGAAGCTCTTCTGCTGGATTTGTTGACATTGTTTTACTACACCGTCATTAAGTAAAAAGTAGAAATAAGCTTGGGAAGAACGAATGAGAACCTAGTTTTCCCCCTTCTGAATGAATGTCTGAAGTGTTCACATCCAGCTTTGCCTGGTGTTAAGGGGCAGGTCTCGTGGGACGTGGGAACTGTTGTCATTCCTGCACCTGAAAGAGCATTACATACACTTCTACATCTTTATTATTCTGCCTGAAGGCTTTAACATAACCAGATGGCATTTATCTGGCCATTGTAGATGAAAGTGTGTGTGAAATAGCAGCATGTGACAATGATAAACACTGAATAAAAATAGCATGTACATGTAGACTCTGTCTTAAAGAAGTCAGGAATTCCTGAGAATAATTGACTCTGCTGTATATCAATTCCAGAACAAACACTTTGAAAGCATGTGTATGTGTGCATTTCTGAAAATCCGTACATCACTTTGATTGGTATAATTTGAGGAGGTCAGACTGGCCTAACTTCCCTAGGGGAAATTACACTTTTCCAAATGCTTGCACTTTTGTTAGGACCCAGACAGACAGTGAAGTACAGGACAATAGAAAAGAAACTGGAGCAATAGAAAGCAGTCTTTGTCTGGACTGTGGCCCAAATTTGATCACATCCATTGTCTTTCAAGGTCCAAAGAATGATAATAAGCACATAGTTATAGATAAGTTGAAAGAATTAAAAAACTAAATTAATAAACTGATAGTAAAACAGTCCAAAGTAAGATTTATAGTGATGAAATGACTAATAATCTGGTCAGATCTCTGCTAGCTGTCATGTTCTTATTGCATGAAAGAATATTGAAAAGTAAATGGCAATTATTTCAGAGCAACAGAAGAAAGGATGTAGATTAGAACTGAGGCAGGACATCAGTATTGGTGACATTTGCATCAAGTGTGGGATGACTTCTTAACATGTATAGTGAATCCCACATCAAGAACTTGTCATTCTGCATCTCTTGAAGCAAAATTTAAGTAACTACTTTTCATATTTCAAATTGTAAATTTTCCATTGAAATATTTGTAGGAATTTTGATAACCACACTAGTTGGCAACATAGTTCTGTTGTACTCTATCATATGTTTTTCCTTTAAAGGAAAACCGTGGGTTTAGTTTGTGTAAAATATTAAAATACAACTTTTTTAATAACATGATTTCACCAGGTACCACGAAGTAAACAAACTATCATTCAGTTTTAAACTGAATGCATTTTCACTTGTCGTCCATAGGACTAGATCTGTCATTTTAGAACCCCTGTAATTTCCTATTAAAAGTAGTCTGAGTAACATGAAAACCTATCTGTTAATTTGTGGATGACTTATTTGAAATGGCACTTTGAACACAGATGTGGACATATGCATCAGTATTCTGAAGATAAGGACAGTCTGGGTAAATGCAAAG